CTGCACACCCCCTACTGGGGATGTGCCTGCAACCAACATACATGCCCTTGACCAGAATCGAACCTGGGACCCTTCAGTCCGCAGCCTGATGCTCTATCCACTGAGCCAAACCAGTTAGGGCAAGAGATAGTTTAGCTGGGTCTAAAATTTTAAGCATGAAATAGTCCCCATCCCCTCCCTCCCTCCCACCACCCCATAATTTTAAAGGCATTACTTCATTGCTATCTAGCTTCAGTTTCATTTTGAGAAGATAAAAGCCAATCTGATTCTTACTCCTTTGTGTATGACAAGATTTTTTTTCCTTTTTTGGGAGCTTTTAAACTCTTTTTTTCTCCTCTTGTTTATGATGATGGGATTTGTCATTCACCCATTGTGTTAGAGACTTAGGGGAACCCTCTTAATCTGTAAGCTCAACTCATATCTTTAGATTCTGAGAAATTTTTGTGAGTTACTTCCTTGATGACTTATTCCTCTCTGTGTCCTCTGTTCTGTTTTTCTAGAAGTCTTGTTTCCATAATGGAACTCCTAGACAGTTCCTATCATTTTCATCTTTCTCTTGTCTTTTTCATCTCTTTATCTTTTTTATCCTATTTTCTGGGCGATTACCTCAACTTTATTTTACCACCCTTCCATTGAGTTTTTAATTTATGCTGTCATACTTTTTTCATTTCTAAGAACTCTGTTTTATTTTCTGAATATTTTCTTTCTGACAGCATTCTTTTTCTGTGTGAGAATACTTCTTTTTCTTGAAGAATACTTCTCCATGTACAGTCTCTCTTTCCTCCAGATGCATTTTCCTTTCTGTTTTAATGTCTGTCTGTCATATGAGTGGCTTCTTCAGGTGCCTGGTGATTCTTGGCTGTCCACTCACCTGGAATGCTTTAGTGCACGGCACCACAAAAGTGGTGGGTGCTCTGTGCTTGCAGGAGTTAGCTTGCTGCCGATGAGCTTGGCTGTAGTATGGTGGAGCTGAGCCATTCCTTTGGGGCACTTCTGATATATCTGTCACTCCTTTTTCTTGGGCTGATCATATTCTTCAGAGAAGATTTGTGAATCTTCTGTCTGGAGTATAAAAATCTACCATTTTCTGCCCTAGCCGGTTTGGCTCAGTGGATAGAATGTCGGCCTGCAGACTGAAGGGTCCCAGGTTTGATTCCAGCCAAGGGCACATGCCTGGGTTGTGGGCTCGATCCCCAGTAGGGGGCATGCAGGAGGCAGCCAATTAATGATTTCTCTCTCTCTCTCTTCCTCTCTGAAATCAATAGAATATATATATTGTATATTTGTGTATATATATATATATATATACACACACACACAAAACACACACACATACATATATATACATATATATGTATATATATGTAT